GCATGACCCCTGGGTCAGATGTGCTGGTGTAAGGACGGGGCTCTTGATAATATAGTGAAAATGCATTATTTCTGTTAAATAATCCTGTCTGCTCCTTAGTGTTAAGCAGATAAACAAAGTGATTACTTATGATGAGCAAACTTCTGGTCCCAGGGTGAGAGGCTCTGGTGTTTCCAGAGCTCCAGATAAGGTGCGTATTTGCAGAAATACGCACTGAATTTAACAAAATATGTGTTGAAAATTAAAACTGGGCATACAGGTACACATTAGCAATCGTAAATAAGCATTACACTATGAATATACTGCGTACAATGGATTGAATAATACAAGTATGACTTAGCTAATGATATGAATTGAAGTCAGCTCAGTGTTTGATTCTTTTCAAAACGAAATATTAATTAAAAAGCGTTTTTATAACCTGGAATATTCTAGTTATGGCGATGACGATTTCCAGTTCGGGAGAAAGAATTCAATGATTTAGACTACAATCAATTTCTTTATATAGAAAGACTACGCACTAGGCATAGTTACTTTTAAGCACACAAAGCTTGTATCGTCTATATAAGACGATATTGTTTTGTAATAAGTGTAATACACAAGTAATGGAAAACAATGTTACCTGTAAAACAATGGATAGTTGGAGAAAAAAGGGTCCTAGCCGGAGAAAAAAGTTTATACTGTAATGCTATCATGTTGTCAAAGAGTACATGATGTGTAAAAAAGCAGTGAAGACCATATTAAAACCATATCGAAAAATGACCTCTGTTAAAATAAACTGCTGTAGAAAGACATTACACATAAATGTAATTGAATTTAACGATTAGGAGTTTTCTTCGATTCTCTAGAGTTTTCTATGGTTCTCTGTTTAGTATGACGGTTTCACACGGTTTTTACATAACATTTTTTATGATGGTTTGATTGTCAATTTCTGATTTCTCTTGTTTTTTTTTCTATTGCTCCAATATCATCTTAAATGGAGAAAAAAAATCATGTGCCTTGGGTTACTTTACCTACTGTATGATCTTCCTTGTAAAAAAAAAAATGATTCTCAGGTTTAGTAAAAATCTTTTTTGCATTTTTCAAAATTTATTTATATAAATACAGGAACTGTCCTTTGCACTTTTTTCTTTCCCCTTTTAAAATACTTTTATTTTGATAACAAGCTCAAATTTACAATAGATGTCAAAACATTAATATATAAACAAAATACTCTTAAATCATTTTGCTGAATAACAAAATCTTCATTGATTTGAAAATCGGGGAGTAAATACACTTTGGGCTAAAAAATTATCTGGAGCTCTGTACAGTTTCTCGAGGGAAGGGGGGGGGGGGGGCTCTATTGATAATATAGTGAATCCGAGTAAAAATGCATCATTTCTTTAAAAATCTTCTCTCTGCACCTGGCATATCAGAGGCAAAAAGAGTAAAAGTTTTAATAAGGAAGGGTATTTTACCAGATTTTTGAACATTTTTTTCAGGACCCTAAGAGAAACGATGATAAAAAGTCTTCTCAAGAACCAATGGGCCAGAAAAAAAATTAAACTTATATGATTTACATGAAAGTCTTAGGTAGTGTTGGTTTTAAATTGTTCAAATCATAGCCCCTGGGGGTGGGGGTGAGAGGCACAGTAGGGAAACAAAGTTTTATATTGAAATATGTAGAAAGTCATTGAAATATATAGGAAAAATCTTTAAAATCTTTAAAAATCTTCTCATGAACCACTGGACCAGAAAAGTTGAATCCTATGTAAAAAAAAAAAAAAAAAAAAAAAAAAAAAAAAGCTCCCTGAGGTAGTATCAATTCTAAATTTTTTAAATCATGGGCCTCAGGGGTAGGACTGGCCACAATAAGGAATCAAAGTTTTACATTGAAATATATGGAGAAAAACTTTAAAAATATTTTCCTCCTGAGCCACTGGACCAGAAATAAATGAAATGTGTGAAAGCATCATGAGGTAGTGTAGTTTCTAATTGTTTAAATCATGACCCCCACTGTACTGTGGGTCCATAATAGGGGATCAAAGTTTTACATTGAAGTATATAGGGGGAAAAATCATTAAAAATTTGTTCTTTTGAACCACTGGACCAGAGAAAAAAATGACACTTATGTGAAAGCTTTCTGACATATTATTTTAGATTCTAACTGTTTAAATCATGGTCCCTTGTAGGATGGGGCCACAATAGGAGCAAAAGTTTTACATTGGAATAAATAGGAAAAGTTTTTAAAATCTGAAAAGTTGAAACTTAATGTAAAAACTTTCTAATAATGATAATGTTGATTCTAAATTGTTCAAACCATGGTCCGAGGGATAAGATGGAGCCACATTTGGGGAAGTTTTACATTGGACTATGTAAGAAAACATTTTTTATACCCCCGTTCAGAAGGAGAGGGGGTATACTGTTTTACCCTTGTCTGTCTGTTTGTCTGTCTGTGTGTCCATGTGTCTGTCCTTAACAAATTTTCATCACAGTTTTCTCAGCAACAACTCATCACAGATGATTGAAATTTTAGCACAACCTTTGTAAAGGCATGCCATATGGTGGGATTCATTTTTGTTCAAATCCAATGTCAACTTCCTGTTTGTCCGTGTGTCTGTCCATACCAAATTTTCATCACAGTTTATTCAACCACTACTCATTGCAGATGCTTGAAATTTTAGCACCATCTTTGTTTAGACATGCCATATGGTGGGATTTTGTTCAAATCCGATGTCAACTTTCTGTTTATATGTGCATCTGTCTGTAACAAATTTACGTCGCAGTTTTCTCAGCAACTACTCATCACAGATGATTGAAATTTTAGCACACTCTTTGTTTAGGCATGCCATATGGTGGAATTCATTTTTATTCAAATCCAGTGTTAACTTCCTGTTTATCCGTGCATCTGTCCGTACCAAATTTTCATCACAGTTTTCTCAGCAACTACTCATTGCAGATGCTTGAAATTTTAGCACAATCTTTGTTTAGGCATGCCATATGATGGGATTCATTTTTGTTGGAATCTGATGTCTACTTCCTGTTAATCCATGTGTCTGTCCATAACAAATTTTTGTCGCAGCTTTCTCAGCAACTACTCATTGCAGATGCTTGAAATTTTAGCACAGTCTTTGTTTAGGCATGCAAATGGTTGGATTCATTTGTGTATGAATTTGATGTCAACATGTGAGTGTATATTAATTCACATCAGAGCAGGGGTATTACTAGTGAGCATTCGCTCACAGACTTCTTGTTAAAATGTTCTCTCAAAATATTGAAAATTGTAAATTACTGTATTTCTCCCTTTCCTCCGATCGTACTAGTAGTCGTAGCAGAGTCATAGTTGTAGTTTAGATGCAATCAGAAAAACAATGCTTAGACATTGACGTTTAGAATATTATAATACAAATTCATGAAATTTTTTTCAACTGACTGAAAAGAGATGAGTTTAATATTCAGCATGAACATGTTTGATGGTGTCTAGTCAATTTGAATCCTACTCTTTTCGAACTGTAGGATAAGAGGCCCTAAAAATGTAATTGTCACATTTTGTTTAAATTTAAATTTTTATATCAAATTCAAAAAGAATTTTTGAAATTGTTTGTAAGAACACCTGAGCTGAAAGCTCAAGTGAGATTTTCTGATCACCCATTGTTCGTTGTCTGTCTGTCTGTAAACTTTTCACATTTTCAACTTCTTCTCAAGAACCACTGGACCAATTTTAACCTAAGTTGGTACAAAGCATCCTTGGGTAAATGGGAGTTTAAATTGTTAAAATGAAGGGCCAAGCCAAGCAAAAATTGACATTAGTTTTCACCTGAAAATAGCATATATTGATTACTATCACAAATATTTACATCACTGGCCCGAACTTTTTGTTTCATTATTTTAAATTACACCATACTTTCAACTGATCAGTACTAAAGTCATAAAAGTTTGTGATATAAGAAAATATTTTGTTGCTTATTTAGATTTTTAATACCAACAAATATATTTTTAAGTGCAAAAAGGTCGTTTAATAATTTACAGGCATCAATTTGAAGGATTTTTATTAATCAAACTGTTTTACATAAAATAAGATTATATTTATTGTCATGATTACATTTGGTAAAATGCGATGAAGGTTAAGGATATCCGATCCTCAGCCAGGAAGGATAATTCGTAAATTTATTATTTTATTTAAAAAGTCTCAAAATAAAGCTTGAAATTGAAATCTTTTTGTGAAACAATTTTATTTATATACATCTTAATATGATTCAAGGTTCTTTGAAGTCTTTGAAACAGTCTTGTAAAAAGTTGACATTTATACCCCATAAAAATAAAAGATTAATTCATTTTTAGAGAAATCTAATTTCCTTTAGTCTAGCATTATATACCACTGCTTATTAGCATGATATGAAATTAGATGTGATATGTGATGTCTAGCAATGATAGCACAAGCTTTTTTACACTATGCATTATATGACAATTGAAGAAAAAAGGTGAACTAAAATACTGTACAAGCATAAAAAGATGCAATTTTCTCCAAATGTCTGGATATCTATTTTTTTGTATCCTAAATTATATTTGTGGATCAATTTTCAATTAGAAAATGCATAGCTGGTGTTTTTATTCGCATTTCCTGAAAATATATTTGAGATTTGATAATTTTCCGTATATTATATGATGAACTATAATTATTAACTTTGAAGAAATTCCGTGGGTAAATTCACGTTAAAATGGGAAATCAGAGACATTTTTGTGAGCATTTTCAATTACTTAAAAGCTGATTTTCAAAGTGATTTACCTAAATGTTACAATTTAAGTCCAAAAAGGTCATGTTAATTGTACATAAGCTCAGTAAGATGCACACTGACCCCCAATTTTCTTTGCAATTTTGAGTCATGCTTTATGAGTAGTTATCTAAAATATACTTCTCAAAAAATCCTTGATATAACTGATATCATGAGTGACATACCTTAACAAAAATATTTCTTCTACCTAGTAAAAGGTGCGAGAATTTCAAGTAGATTTGTCTTTTGCAGGCACAGTGCGCCCCCCTTTTGGATTCCCAGGATACCCTGAGGGCATGAATGGAGCAGGATACCCTTTCCCCAACCCTGCTGCAGCAGCAGCTGCAGCTGCTGCCAGTCTTGCTGGTGTCCACTCTACCACCATAGAACACCCATCTGTATCCCACAGTACTCCTCACTCAACCCCCCACAGTACTTTGTCAGAAACCGCCATTCACATGGGAAAAGCAGAGTCATCAGAGGTTCACTAACACCGTCAAAAAGTTTAACAGAGATCAGGAGCCACCTGTATGGAGATCTACCTTAATGTTTTATTCCCATTGTCATAAAGGTTGTTAGAAGTCTGCATAGATTGATGAAAGTACATGAAAATTTATTGATCTGGTAAACAAAGATGTTGTTATTTTTTTTTCTCCAACACTGGATCATGTACCTTGACTACTCTTGATTACAAAGTGACTACTAAAGGAAGTGTCTGGGTTGGAGAAATCACTGAGGAAAGAAAACATTCTGGACAAATTAAAAATGTATCTTTAGCTTGACGGAATTTTACTGCAAAATGTTTAGGAAAACTATAGGGGGAAAAAGTAAGACTTGCTGAAGATTGCATTCCAGAGCACCAATACTGGGAGAACTGTGGCAGTTGAGACTTGAATCTCGTCTCATGAACAAGGCCATTACATAGCATCACTCCATCATCATCCTGATAAACAGTGGAAGAACCATTATAACACAGAGATATTTTTGTAGTATTTCAATCAAAGACATCATAGATCATAGAGCAAGTGACAGTGTATAGAGTAATTATGTGTGTTTGTGTGATTGAGGTTAGAGGTTACATGTGGTTTTTTTTTTTTTTTTTTGGTTTTTTTTTTTTTTTTGTTTTTTGGGGTTTTTTTTCTTTTATTTCTTTGTGTTGACAGTAAGAAATAGATAAAGGGAATCACTAGGGACAGCCAAAATCACTTTGTTATATCTGTAATTCATTATTTCCAAGAAATATCTGATTTAGTCTAAACTTCTTGATGACAAAATATAAATTTGTTGTGGGCAAGAATTCCCTTTATGCAAACTTCTGTGTATTTTTTTTGTAACAGTAATAAAGCTTTAATCAGATGGTCTTTTAATGCCAAGGAAAATATAATATGTTTAGATTTGCAAGATTTTTTCTTTGCATATTAACAGTAACCTAAATCCTGTTTTAAAGGAGCCGACTGGGATTTTCATTGCGCAATACTGTGCACAGAATAGGGAAATAAAGCTAATTTACATTTTTAAGCAATCATTTAAAAAAAATATCAAATTTAAGAGGATTAAGAAATTACAGATAAAAAATTGATTTACACTTTTAAGAAATAGTTTTTTAAACATTTTTTCAACTGATAGGTAGATAGATGTTGTTAAAGTGTGTTTATGATGTTATGATTAACTGAAGTTCTTTAAGAGGGGGCCATCAAAAAGTGTTAAAAGAAAAAGGATAAAACATACACTCTTGAAATTTTTAAAACACAGGAATTGAAAAGACACTTTTTTGTTGTTATTTTCTATGTAAAGTCCTAGTTACCTGTGATATTTTGTAGCGCTCCATAAAAAAACGTAAATTTCCGAAAAGTTTGACATTTTGAGATCTCCCCTCTGGAAACCAGACTGTGTAATTCTGTTTTTTGCAAATATTGTACAGTATAATTTTTTTCATCACATATTATAATTTGAGCATAAAGTCTTTTAAAATATTTTTGTAACTTGCCTTGAAATGTGAAAAAACATGTCCCCATACAATTCTATAGTAAATGTAACTGTGTTTTGAGATGGTCCTTAAAAATACCTAGATGATTTGTTTTCTTGAAATTTTTGCATGTACACTTGAAATCAGTGTAGGCTATACATGATACAAAAGTAAAGACTTTTTCTGTTGTAGTTTTTACACAATAAAACCCCAGTCAGCCTCCTGAACCTAGGTTTTTAGTGAACTTTTCTGGTCACTTGTTGTCTGTCTGTCCATCTGTTAACTTTTCATACTTTCAGTGTCTTCTCCAGAAAAACTGGATCAATTTCAACCGAACTTGTCACAAAACATTCTTGTATAAAAGGGGATTCAGATTTATTCAGATGTAGGACCCCTTCGTAATCAAGAGAAGGCAAAAATTAGGGAGAGTGTCTTAAAAAATTCTTTTTCAAGAACCAATGGGCCAAAAAAAATGAAACTTGTAAGTTTCCAGACATAATGAGGAATCTTTTTTTTTCAAACCTTGGCCCTGTTGTTAGGATGGGGCCATTATCGAAGATCAAAGTTTTACATGGGAGTATATAGGGAAAAATCTTTTAAATATTTCATTTTAAGAACCACTGGGCCATGATTATTAGTCATATTATTATGCAAGCAACTACATTTAGTGTAGATTCAAGGTAGTTCCGATCAAAGCACTTGGGGATAGGGTGGGATCACAGTGGAGGATCAAAGTTTTTCTGTTGCATCTTTGTAGGAAAAAATCTTTAATCTTCCTCTCAAAAATGGTAGGGTCATGATTAGTCTTATAAATATGCAAGCATCGTCATGTAGTGTACATTCAAGATGGATCAATTCATGGGCCTGAGGGTAAGGATTAAGCCAAAATGAGGGATCAAAGTTTTTGATGCATATATAGAGGGAAAAATCTACTTGAGAACAACAGGACCATAACTTGTAAAATAAAAAAAAAAATGTGTAAATGTGCGAGCAGCCTCAGGTTTGTGTACAAATCATTGAGGTATGATAGGGCCACAATGGGGATGAAAGTATGTAGAAAATATCTCCTCCAGAACCACTAGGTTTTGATTAATCATCATAATATGCAAGCAGCTTGACGTAGTTTATAGATTCAAATGAAAAATTCTGGGATTGGGACACAACTAGGGATCAAGCTCTACATGGGAATCTTTAAACATCTTTTTCTCAAGAACTGCTGGGCCAGGAGAGATGGAACTTGCATCTGTTCAGAGGAATAGAGTAAGACTACAATAAGGAAAAAAGTTTTCTTGTTTTAAAAATATTTATTCATGAAGCATGAATTGGATTGAACTGCATGGAAAAATTCCTAAAATTGTTCTCTCCACAAGTCAAGGTGCATATAATAATAACTGGTACATTTAAACACTGGAAAAGCTGTAGAAAAATAGATCATCAATTGGTATAAAATATATCCAGACATAGAAAGAGAGAGAGTAAAATTTAAAAGAAAACATACATGAATGTTGTCTCAGGGTGGGAAAGATTCCCTTACAAAATAGTATATTTAAAACAAGAATATTCTTCCAAGCAAATCATAATAGACTAGAGTTTTCAATGAAAATTCAATGAGGTATGTACATGATCAAATATGAAAAGTTTTAACCAAACAATCAACACAAAGTATATTATCTATAGATATATCATTTTCAGCTATGTATTTAATCAGCATCTGTCTAGTAGAAATATAATGTGGACAATGCAAGAAAAAATGCAGTAAGTCTTTCAATTTGGTATCCACAATTTGTACATTAAGGTGGTCATTAAGAAGGACAGCATTATGGACTAACACAAACATTTTTTTCTTCTGCAATTAAAATATCTTTGCTTAAATAGGTGCCCTTCTTTAAAGAAGTGATATCTGTTAGTTCAGCAACTTTATGTTTGACTAAGCTAAGTAATTTGGTGAGAAGAGGGAAAATGTAACAATAGGCAGTAAGACTTATTTTGATACCATGTTTGATTCTCTATGTCATCTTTTATGGAGCCCATGATGTTCAGACTTTTTGCTGTAAAAATTAACATTTTATTTAAATGTAATTTTCAGGAGGAATTTTAAAAAGAAGGAGTTAAAAATATCAATTTTTAAAGCTGCCTTTTGTAAATTTAAAGAAACTATTAATATAATAGGTACAGTAATGATAGCTCATTCTGTCATTGCTGAAAATGTTCTCATTGTAAACTTAGAATAAAAGGTTGTAAACTTTCAATAAAAGGATGAAACAGTAGTACAATTAATCCTTTGAGATTAATTATCTTGCCAATACATACCTTTATCTGTCAAATTGAGATTAATTAACACTTCTGTTTTCAAGTAATGCTTGTTTTGAAGTTAAGAAGCTTGGATGATTTTTGCATTCACCAAAGGCTAGCATTTTATGAAATGCATGCTTCACTGATTTAAATATATTTAATTAAACCGTTAAATGATATGATATTTTTTACTGCTTTATATAAATACAAGGATACTTTTAATTTCTAACAGGTAATTAGATAATCTCTTTTGTCATTTTGGAAGTATCTCAAAATTTAGTAAGTAAAGTTGCTGTTTCATATTCTTGCTATATTTTTAAATTTCCTTTCAATATTTTCTTAAGTGTCTTTTAAGTTGCACCCCTTAGAGTTCTATTCCTCTGTGGGGTCCTTGCTGTCTGGTCAGTTTTCTAGTTAGACTTCCTTTAAAAGAATTATTGAAAAAATTCATTGTAACTCTTTTGTGTGGGAGATTAGAAAATTTGTTTGTGGTAGGTATCTTTAGGGTTTCTGCATTTATTTCTCAACTGGCAATGTAAAATATATTTAATTCTATTAATATAGAACTTGATTTTTTTTTCTGAATTGAATTGGTTAATCTTTTTAGGTCACCTGAGTCACTCAGGTGACCTATTGCTATCCATTTTTGTCCGTCGGCATGCGTCGTCCGTCTTGCATTAACTTTTGAACATTTTTAACTTCTTCTCTAGAACCGCTCAACCAATTTCAACCAAATTTGGTACATAGCATCTATGGGTGAAGGGGAACAAAAATTGTGAATTTCATGGTCCCTGCCCCCCTGGGGCCTGAGGGGTGGGGCTAAAACCACCAAAATTAATGCAATCTTTAAAAATCCTCTTCTTTACTCCTGGACATCAAGCAGTCAAACTGTTGGCATGATTGTAATAAGCATTGAGCCCTCTACCAAAATTGTGAAATTCATGGCCCCAGGGTCAGGGGTTCTGGTGCTAGGGCAGGGCTATATAGATCATATAGTGAAAGTGCATTATTTCTCTGAAAATCTTCTCCTCTACTCTTGGGTGTTATTGAAGCAAATAAAATACATAGTTATGATAAGCAAGAGTGACTCTACCAAAATTGTGAAATTCATAGCCCCAGGGTCAGTGGTTCTGGTGCTAAGGCGGCGCTATATAGATCATATAGTGAAAATGCATTATTTCTTTGAAAATCTTCTTCTATACTCCTGGGTATTATTGAAACAATTTAAATACCTAGTTATGATAAGCAAGAATGACTCTACCAAAATTGTGAAATTCATGGCCCCAGGGTCAGGGGTTCTGGTGCTAGGGTGGGGCTAAATAGATCATATAGTGAAAGTGCATTATTTCTTTGAAAATCTTCTTCTCTGCCCCTGGGTATTATTTAAACAAATTAAATACATAGTTATGATAAGCAAGAGTGACTCTACCAAAATTGTGAAATTCATGGCCCCAGGGTCAGGGGTTCCAGTACTAGGGCGGGGCTATATAGATCTTATAGTGAAAGTGCATTTACGCTATAAAAATCTTCTTCTCTGCTCCTGGGTATTATTTAAACAAATTAAATACATAGTTATGATAAGCAAGGATGCCTCTTCCATAATTATGAATTTCATGGCCCCTGGATCAGGGGTTCTGGTGTTAGGGCAGGGCTCTATTGTATAGTGAAAATGCATTTATGCTTTAAAAATCTTCTTCTCTGCTCCTGGGTATTATTTAAACAAACTAAGTACATTGTTATGATAAGCAAGGATGCCTCTTCCAAAATTGTGAAATTCATGGCCCAAGGATCAGGGGTTCTGGTGTTAGGGTGGGGCTATATAGATCCTATAGTGAAGTTGAATTATTTCTTTGAAATCTTCTTCTCTGCCCCTGGGTATTATTTAAACAAATTAAGTACATTGTTATGATACGCAAGGATGCCTCTTCCAAAATTTTGAATTTCATGGCCCCAGGGTCAAGGGTTCTGGTGAAAAGGGGGGGGGGGGGGCTCTATTGATTATATAGTGAAAAAGCAAAATTTCTTTGAAAATATTCTTTTCTGCTCCTGGTTGAAAAGCAAAGAAGCTAAGTGTATAGTTATGATGAGCAAGAGTGCTTCTTCCAGAGTAGTGAATTGCATGATCCCTGGGTCTGATGTGCTGGTGTAAGGGTGGGGCTCTTGATGATATAGTGAAAATGCATTAATTCTATTAAATAATCCTGTCTGCTCTTAGTGTTAAGCAGATAAACAAAGTGATTACTTATGATAAGCAAACTTCTGGTCCCAGGGTGAGAGGCTCTAATGTTTCTTGCTGTGGAGGGGGGGGGGGGGCTCTATTGATAATATAGTGAATCTGTAATAAAAATACATTTTTTCTTTAAAAATCTTCTCTGCACCTGGGCATATCAGAGGCAAAAAGAGTAAAAGTTTTAGAATTTTTATCAGATTTTTGAATATCTGGACCATTTGGTCGAGTGTTCTGGTCCTGGCCAGGGCTCTATTAATTTGTATTCTACTGAGAGGAGTTATTCCCCTTTGCCATTTACTTTTGATCATTAATCACTGTAAATAGTGTACTTGAAAGGTTAATAGAATAAGAGAATTATGCAAGAATTTTTATTGTATAATACAAAAAGTACTTTCATAGTTTTAATGATCAGGTAGACTTGTAAGTAATAGATAAATAAAAATGAGACAAAAATAACTTGTCTTTTTAAATGTTCATCAAAGACCAAGAGAGGCCAATGTAAGAGATGTCAACAAGGAATTAAAATGGTGCAGAAGCACTGATAGTTTGTAAATATACTGTATGGTGATAGTGATAAATGGGGAACAGATTAGAACCCAATTTATGAACTGTTAATGAATACTAGACTAATTATTTTGTTGATCCTGATCACC